GACCCAGAGGCGGAGGATTCCCGCTCGGGAGGATCTGTGAAAATGGAGCCTAGACCCACAACACAACCTTCCTTCCACCAACGTGAAGGCATTGATCTACTAATGAGGTGGGCCAAGGGGCGCCCAAGGCAAAGGTTGCCAAATTCCTTGTAGTAGCTGCGCACCTAGGGAAGACAACACTAGCGATGAGTATGTTCATACACTGTAGAGGGGAGGAATATTTACAACTGAGCGCTCAGATGTGCATCCGAGACCCAATGTATCCACCAAGTATGCTCAGCTAGTGGCTCTCCACCGTATTCAGAAACTCGCTTTAAAAACGATGCTCATCCCTGAATTAATTTTACATGCAAGAGGTCTTAAGGAGAAATAATTATTGCTTTCAAACGGACGTGCGGTTGATCTTAGATGAATAATCTATGCAAAAGTTAAAGGCCTTTTAGCAATGATCTTTTTTAATATTTTTATTGTAAAGATACTATACAGAGGGGTTACAGTTACATGAGTAAGGTAATGAGTACATTTCCTATGAGCATTGTTATCCCCTCCTTTGTTTTTCCCCTACCATCCCTTCCCTCCCTACCTCCCCAAATGATCTTACGATCTTTTCTTCCTTGAGTATAAAATAGCTTTTGCTTTATTCATCTGAATCCAATAAGAGCTTTCTTACTAACCTAAAAAAAACTACACTCATCCTTCTACCCAAAGAGCGACTCCAAACTGTAGAATACACTTGTACCACCCACAGATTTTACAGCACCCTGAGAACCCTTTCACCACACATCCCATAACTAATGGTAATTTCTGTAAAGAGTTCCAAGTACATTATTGTTTACAGCCTATACACACTCAGCCTATGGGATTCAGATCCCTTCCACACTTGAAAGGGTGTTTGTTTCCATTGGAAGTTGAGGAGCATATTGAAAACTGGCAGAGTGGGTGAGGGTGTGTTGCCTACTGAAGGCTCCCAGAACTAGAAGGTCTCTTCTACCTATTGGAGTGATCATCTTTCTGTTTTTTTCTTAAAAAAAAAAAAAAACAAAACAAAGAACACAAAGCATAGTATAATAGACTCCCTTTGATTAGCTAATCAAGTCCTTCAATCTGTAGCCTAGACGCACTCTTAACTATACCACAGGAAGTCGAAGGCATGCTTTCAAGGAAGAAATTGGAATGAGTTTAGAATTGCAAGCCTGTTCTCTGCTGGAAAACGAAGCACTTCTGGACATGTCCAGGATAAGGAGTTCTTGCTTCCTGCAATGTACACACAACCAGACTCCACTGACACATCGGGCTACTACTCCTAGTGAGACAACTTCACTGATCCTACCGACAGGCCTCAGCACACCCCACTACTACCCCATTACCCAGATACCACCAAGAGACACCTACATACATCTTACCCCATACCTACCCAGAAAAGATTCGGCACTTCTTGTAAGATGTCGGGTTCTAATCGTGCCGAGGATACTGTAAATCTGACCCTGCTCCCCCCCCAGTAGTTACTGGGAAAATAATAATAATAGCATTCGACAACCTCTCCATTGCTCTTATCAGTAGCTTTAAAGGGACGATTGCCAACACTGTGCTTTGTATACATGAGGCCACCCGGTTTCTGCCAAGGCCCAATGCAAGAGGAAGACACATAGGGAAATCCTATTTGCCCAGAGTAGTGCTAGAGTCGACATCCCCTGAGTTTCACAATAACCTGGCCTCAAAGCATGGGCGCCACTTCTACCCGGAGACCTAGGAGACTGCCTCTCCTCGAAAATTGGGGCGGAAAAAGAAGCAAGTTGTGGTGCATCAGAAGGGGCTATTCTGGGTGAAGTTTCCAACGGAAACCAACAAACGGCGCTATTGTCGCGCCCTGGGTCTTGGGAGCCCCAGGCCCAGCCCCACTAAAAGGGAGCCTTGGCTTTCTTGGGAGTTTAGGGGAACAGGGAGGACCGGCTTGGCTCGGTTCCTAGGCTCGGATCCAGGGCTCTGTGCCCCGCCCACAGGAGGACTCTGGGAGACCCCTGAAGACCAGAGTGCAGTGGAGCGCCCTGCGCTCTCTTCCTGGAAGACATTGACAAAGAAATGGTCCTGGGTCCCTCCGTAGAATGCTTTCCTTGATGGGTCTGAGAGGTTGCAGTTCATGCCCCACCAGCGTCAGACTTCCCTAAAGCCTCCACCTCTCCAATCGAGACCACTCAAAGCTATGGAAGGTGCCACGATCTCTCTCTCCCAACCCTGGCCTAGTGCCTGAGTCTTCACTTCTGGTGGCCCAAGAAAACTGGTTTCCTCCCAGTGTCCCCTTCCTGCCCCCTCCCCCACCATACACACTCCTTAAAGGGTAAGTTCGTTTGCCTACTGACATGGTAGCTGGGGGTCAGAAACTTGGACACTTTCAAGGTAAATCCTGGGGTTGCACTTACTTTGGGCTGTGCAGACCACCCCAGAGCCACGAAGCACAAAGACTCGGGGGAGATCGGTTTAATCCGGGCCTGCGAAGAACGAACGCTATGGGGATAAGAAAAGGTGCTGATCCTGACAAAAGCCCTCCTTAAACATCTGACAAGAGAATGCAATGTGCAGATGAACTCAGGTGAGCCAGGGTTAGGTGTGATTAAATGACAAGCAGCTGGGAGCTGTTTTCCCCATCATCTACATCGTGGGGTTGTGCAATCCGGCCCCGCATCCACTGCCTCGGGAAACATGTAGCCTAGGAGCTGTCACCACAACGGCTTACTTGGGTCCTAAAACTTGGAAAGAATCCTAACATCTGTCAGGCTACTGGACTTCAAGCCGCGCCACGGTTGGGTAGTTTCCTAAAATGCTCTTCACTTAGCAACAGCCTTGGGGTGTGTGTGTGGGGGGGGGGGGGGAGGACAGAAAACTCGTCCGAGGGCCTGTAGGGAACGCAGCAGGAGGGCAAGCACCACTGCACTTTGGCTTCTTTACGGATAGGGGGTTCATCTAAAAAAACCGGACTTTGTCGGCCAGCTTTCCAAGAAAACGGCCGCTGGTAGAGACCGTCGGCTCATCCTGATTCCTGAGATCTGCCTTCCAGCCGGTGTTAGCGGTATTGTGCACACCCGGGCGTGCGCATGCACTCACACATACGTCCACACACACACGTACGCCCATGCACAGACCCTTTCCAGACACTTTTATTTAAAATCCCTAAGTACCTCCATGCATCCATGAATTGTCACCCTTGTCCAGGAAGACTTCGATCAGGTGGAAACACAAATTAAGTGGAAGGTTACACGATTCGGAACTTCCCCAATGTGATAGGGCCTCAGGATCTAGGATTGTCGCACTTCCCCGTGCATATGACCTACGGGGGGGGAGGGGACTGGGCCACTCTGCACCCCACAAGCCACAAGCCATGCTCCTTACTTTTTCATCCGCGCGGGACAAGAGCGAAGCGCCTGGCGTGCAGGCATCGCGAGATAGCCTAAGGTTGCATTAGTGCTGGGAATTTGTCCCACACTTCAGAGTGAAGATTTGCTTTGGGTTCCCCACCTTTCCACGAGATAACGTGGGAGAAGGAGAGCCTAGACCCCATAGTCCATGGACCCCTTCTTCCCATTTTCGCTCCATGAGCGCGTACAGTGTCTCCTTCTCACTTGCCGCCTTAGGAGCGGCTCGGAGAGTTGCAAACGCATTCCTAACTCACTTGCGCTAGCGGCGGCGATTGTCGGGGTCCCCCTCCCAAACCCCGCGCGCACCAAAGCCTAGGGTCCCGAGCCGCCGATCTTGAGCAGACAACTCCACAAGCGATGGGAGGTCTCACTCCGGAGTCTATTCAAGAACGCTGTAAAACAAGAAAGGAAAGGCAGGGGATCCGTTAGCACAGCCTGGGCCGGGCGGGAGGCGGTGCGGCTGCGCGCGGAAAAGCCGCGCTCCGCGGTGCCGGCAGGTGCGGGCGCCGGTGGAGGGGGCCGCGCGCTCCACGCGGAGCACGACCCGCGCTCCGATCGCGCCACCTCCACCCCCCAATCCCACCTCCGTCTTCGGAAAAAAAAAAAAAAAAAAACTTTTCTTTGCCTGGGAGAGGCTCCGGGTTGCCATGCAAACGGATTTTCCAAGGGGCCCGACCTCCCCCCCCCCCCGGGGGTATCGGACTGGAAAAAGCGAAATGGCCCGAGAGCACAGACAAAAAGGGGCCGCGAAGCGGGGGCCGGGGAGGAGAGGGGTGGGAGCTGGCTCACACCCTCCCCCCCCTATACACACACCCTGTGCACAGCCCCGCACGCACACGCTCAGTCGGTGGGCTGCGGAGTGCTGACGCCCTAGGCAGCGTCCCCACCCTGGGCGTGCTGCCGGGCTGAAGCCCGGCTTCCTTGGCCCAGCTCCGTCCCGCACGCACGCGCACGCCAATTCCCAGCGGACACTTTGGAGGCATCTGCGGGGTGCCTTAGGTTCCCCGCCCCCCCCCCTCCCCAGGAAGCCCAGCCGGCTGCTCGCCGGGCCGCGCGTTCCTGGCGTTGGCAACACACGCAGTTGGAAGTCCTCTAAGCAGACAACGGGCAGCTTTACCAGCCGGGCCTGGGATGGGGCGCTGGACGGCCTTGACCGGGTTGCAAAGTTGTGTTCACAACCACGCGGGCGCCCCTCTGCCCCTCCCCCTCCAAGCCTCCTCTCGCGCTTTCCCCCCCCCCCCCCCGCCATCACCTCCTCGGGTTTCGCTCTTTCAAACTTTTTGAGCCCCTAATTGGTGGTCTCAGAGCGGATCCTCGGGACTCCCGCCTTCTGAAGAACTCTCATCACGTCACTCAGCTCCAGCGGGACAGAGGAGGGGGGGGTGAACGAAAGGGCTCCCCGAACTTTTTTTTTTTCCCTGCTGGGCCAAACCGGGGGCTTGCTGATGATTGGCCAGCGTTCATCCCAGCGAGCCTGTCAATCAAGGAGTCTACGGGTGGCGAGGGGCGGACCCAACCCCAACCCCCGGGGATCCGCGCAGGTATATAAAGGGGCCCGGCCAGCCACCGGCCAAGCTGCAAACGCGACCGGCTGGAAAGTAGGCAGCAGCAGGTGCGAGTTGCCCGCAGGTTCCAGCCCACTCGGCGCCGAGCGCTTCTTGGGCGAGTCTACCCTTCCCGCCCCATCGCCTGGCCTCCCGGCCCACCCAGCGCCCCTCCGACGGAGTCTCCGGGCCTTTTCACCGTGGCCGCTCCACCCCCGGGAGCGCCTTCTCCTCCCGCCACCCTGGCGCACCTTCTTCCCTCTCCGGCCATGTACAGCCTTTTGGAGACTGAGCTCAAGAACCCCGTGGGGCCGCCCACCCCAGCCGCGGGCACGGGCGGCGCCGCAGTTCCCGGTGGTGCGGGCAAGAGTAGCGCGAACCCAGGCAGCGGCGCGAACGCAAGCGGTGGCAGCAGCGGTGCTGCGAACGGCGGCGGCGGCGGGGGCACGGATCAGGATCGCGTCAAGCGGCCCATGAACGCTTTCATGGTCTGGTCCCGCGGGCAGCGGCGTAAGATGGCCCTGGAGAACCCCAAGATGCACAACTCGGAGATCAGCAAGCGCTTGGGGGCCGATTGGAAACTGCTGACCGACGCCGAGAAGCGACCGTTCATCGACGAAGCCAAGCGGCTGCGCGCTGTGCACATGAAGGAGTACCCGGACTACAAGTACCGGCCGCGCCGCAAGACCAAGACGCTGCTCAAGAAGGACAAGTACTCCTTGCCCGGCGGCCTGCTGCCCCCCGGCGCGGCCGCCGCCGCTGCCGCGGCCGCCGCCGCCGCCGCCGCCAGCAGCCCAGTGGGCGTGGGCCAGCGCCTGGACACGTACACGCACGTGAACGGCTGGGCCAACGGCGCGTACTCGCTGGTGCAGGAGCAGCTGGGCTACGCGCAGCCCCCGAGCATGAGCAGCCCGCCGCCGCCGCCGGCTCTCCCGCAAATGCACCGCTACGACATGGCCGGCCTGCAGTACAGCCCCATGATGCCCCCCGGCGCCCAGAGCTACATGAATGCCGCGGCCGCCGCGGCCGCCGCTTCGGGCTACGGGGGCATGGCGCCCTCCGCTGCCGCCGCCGCCGCCGCCGCCTACGGGCAGCAGCCCGCCACCGCCGCCGCCGCCGCCGCTGCCGCCGCCGCCATGAGCCTGGGCCCCATGGGCTCGGTGGTGAAGTCCGAACCCAGCTCCCCGCCTCCCGCCATCACGTCGCACTCGCAGCGCGCGTGCCTTGGCGACCTGCGCGACATGATCAGCATGTACCTGCCGCCCGGCGGGGATGCGGCCGACGCCACCTCGCCGCTGCCCGGCGGACGTCTGCACGGGGTGCACCAGCACTACCAGGGAGCCGGGACTGCCGTCAATGGCACGGTGCCGCTGACCCACATCTGAGTCGCCTGGCCTGTGCTCGGTAGCCCTGCGCCCCCCTATCCCGCACCCCCCCCCCCTTCCCATGGTTGGGACGCCTTGTTGTTTCGCTTTGCTTGCCTGGGACTGTTGCCTTGTACCGAAGATGGGGAAAAGGACAGAAAGTTTGGCTTGTTAGCTGTCAGGTTTTTGTACAAAAAGCAAAAAAAAAAAAAAAAAAAAAAGTCAGGAGCAGCGGAAATGGGACTTTCTAGAACTGCCTGCCCTCCGGCCGCTGCGCCTTCCTGTTTCCCCCCTCCCCACACACCCCTATTTCTGGGCTGGGGATCGCTGTGATGTTTGCAAAGAAAAAAGAAGCCGCCCCCTCCCTCCTCCTCCCGGTTCTTGGGTTCCTCTGTTCCAGTTGAAAATGTTGTCTCGTTTAGATTGCTAGGCCTCGAGGTGTGCGTGAATGGAAAAACTTTTCCTCGACTGTGGGGGTAGGGGGGAATGTTGGCCTGAGCACGGCCCTGTCCCCGCCCCCAGGCGAGTTGCATCTGTTTTCCTTGTGGTTTTATTTGGGGGGGGAGGGGGGTGGGGGGGGGGAGGCTGTCCACGCGGAGCCGCGTGGCAGCTCGAGCTGAGGTTAATTTATAGCCAGGTGTGCGTGTGTCTCCCGCCTCGCCGCCGCCCCTGGCCGCGGGACAGCTTGTGTCGAGTGCCGCATTTAGGCCGTTGCGTTGGTGATTTCTGCCGTGGCTGTTCGCTTCTGTGCGTCGCGCTGATGTCGTGGTTCGAATTTCGTTCGGGTCCTAGAGAAGGGGCTTTTTTTTGTATGTTTCCGGTTTTTTTTTTCCAGATTTTACTTTTCATGGCTTAAATGAGAGATCAATAAATTTTCTACCCAACATGATGGAGTCCTGATAATTTCGCGGCCCGAAAACTTTGCAGATGTTAGGGGTTGGAAAGAAGGGAGGTCAACACTCTTGTTTTGGACAAGGCGGGGGGGGGGGGCGAGAGGGAGCCTCTTCCTGACGGCTGAGTAGGACGTGGGAGGAAGGTGAACGGAATCCCCCATGGGTGATTCTTTTATTTCTTTACTTCTAAAGTACGAGTCATCCCCCAAACACATCAGGTCCTACCACTTTAGACTGGGAAACTTGTCTGAACTGAAGAAAGCGGTTGGTCTTCTGGGAACGTCTCCTGGGAGCGGGCGCGTACACCCCGCGCTTGGTCGCGCACTTGTTGATTGGGGTGAGTGTCCCAGAAAGGAGTGTCTGTTCCCGGGGCGGGAACCGGACACCTGCGACCCCGGAAACGGACCCAAAAGAATAAAAAAAAAAAAGCGGGTACGTTTACCTTTGTGCACTGGGGCGGGAAGACATTTGAGCCAAGTTGAAATATTTACAAAACGAAAAACCCTTTGGAAAGCTCAATGATCTTATTAAAATGAAATCGTTGCGAGCATGCCCAGCAGGAAACAAATACATGCAGCGGGATGAGGGGCTGAAGCCGCGGGTTGAGCCTTCAGCGTAGCAAGATTGGAGTTGTGCAAAGTACAGCTGAGGGTCGAAACAGTTCTAAACCGTCCTCTTCGTTATTTTGAACGGTGTTCAAAATAAGCGGTTCCATCTTCTCCTGACCCTTGACCCGATTTCTATTTCCCGCCTACTTGCGTGCAGCCCCTAACCGGTGGCTAGTTCACTATGCCTCTGCAAGGGCCCTTCGTTTGGCGACCGGCTGGAGGGGCCCCATTGGATCGGTTTGGGGCCTAGGAAGAAACAAATAGAACCAGTGTTTTTTTACCCCCTCCTCAACTGTTTGAGGTGATTTCCTTAATCCCTTTAATCCTGTTACCTCGCCATCCCAGAATAACTAAACTCGGCCTTTCCAATAAGCCTGGCCTGGTGCAATGTTTTTATCCTCATCCACTCCTGACCACAGGCTTCTTTGCTTGAGGTCTGTTGGGAACCTAGGCGACAGAGTCTCCCCGTAAATTGGTCCAAATTCCACATTGCCAGCTAGCTTCCTTTGTGCCGACCAGCCATTCACCTGCGGGCCCAGGCGGGCCTGGGGGTTGGGGCGGAGCGGGGTCTTTCTGAGACTTCGGGGGTCGTGCCCGCTTTTTACACATCACTGCGGATCCTGGAGAGGAAACTGCACTCCGCCTCTCCCAGAAAGGTCCGATCTCTCTGGGAAGGCAGCATCGCCCCCCCCTCCCGCCTCCCCCCCTCCTCCCCCCCCCCCAGACGTTTGCAATGCCGTCTCCACCCCTTGCACCCCGCCCCCCACTATCCCGCCTGGAGTCGGAGGGGGCCTACGTTGATTTACACAGGGCTTCTCCTGGATCTACGGGCGTTTGGGACGGGCCTCCCCACCGCTCCTGATCCGTGGGGGCTACACCCCCTTGCAGCTGGGATTGGAGCCAGGCTACAGGCTGCCTGGTGGCCCTCTAACCCCCCCCCCCCGCCCCTTCCCCAATGCTCCAAAGCCCCTGCCACACAAGGAAACTCTTGTCATATTTCCCTTCTTATTTGCTATGTTTCATGGTCATCAGCCTTCAATAAAATACCTGCGCATAGGTTACTGGAGGTCTTCGATTGCTAGCAATAGCTGACTTCTTTGGTCTGCAAGGACGGCAGGAAAGAGAGGGGGAAAACAAGCAATTCGTCCCACTGAGGGGGGCGGTGCCAACGAGGGAATCAACTCTGTCACTGCTTCTTTGGAGGAGTCTATTGTGCTGCTGCCTCCTTGGAAGTGCCAGGGTCATCCTTTCAGTGAGGCTCGCGTAGTGCTCACCCCCTCTGAAACATCCATGGCTTTGTACTCCACTTTGTCTGATTCCCAAATTGCCTTTAAAAAGAGAAAAGATTTCATCAATCAGCACATTCGGAGGATTTAAATATAGATGAATGATAATCTTTTGTAACTTCAGTAGAGACAAGAGAACAGAACTGACCTAGAATAAAGCCCTCATCCTTACACCAGAATTTTCCAACTCGATTCCACGCTACACAGGTCAACCAGGGCAACTGGACCTGAGTCTGTCTCTGTACATTCCAGGGGCTGGTAAAGCTTAGTTTTAAGATAAGAGATCTATTGCTAACACAGCAACAAGTGCAAAACCTGATTAGACTCTTTAACTCTTGCTGCCTCCTCTTGCTGGTTTTGGATCTGAAGAAAGTGTCTAGAAAAGCGGGAATGACAGTGCTCACGGTTCCTTAGCTCATTCCGCTGCATCTGGTGGAACTAGACTCCCAGGTCTGCAAGAATTCCCTCTGCACGGCCTGCCACAAAAGGAAAGGATGAAATCCCAGCCCCAGCTGCCTTTCCAGCCAGAATCCAGCATGTTCTTCTGAGAAAAGAGACAATTCTTAACAGACACCTACTAGCTACCACGTGGCCAATGGCTCAATGATGTTGGGAATATAGAGGGGCCAATAGTCCATCTTTTAGCTGCTGACAGGACCAGAGCTAACTTTTTGGTGGGAATTATTTGTCCTACACAACTATCTCCCCTCATTAATCTCCCCCTGTCCAAGAAATCTACAGGGTGTCCAAACTACAGCTGTGTGTGTGTGTGTGTGTGTGTGTGTGTGTGTGTGTGTGTGTGTACACGTGTGCGTGCGTGCGCACTCATGTGTGCTGGTCTTTGGGCTTGAACTCAGGGCCTGAGCACTGTCCCTGAGCTTTATTGCTCAAGGCTACCACTTGAACCATGGCTCTGCTTTGGAGCTTTTCTATGATTAATTGGAAATAAGAGTCTCACTACCTTTCCTGCCCAGGCTGGCTTTGAACTGCAAAACTTTAATCCTCAGATCTCAGCCTCCTGAGTAGCTGAGATTACAAACATGAGCCAACCGTGCCAGATTTAAGACACAGATTTTTAAAGAATTCAGACCTCCTTATACGACCTAAATATTACAACCAACTCAAATGTGCGACAAGTGGGGGAAAAGTTCAGTGAAATGTTTTCCAGAGCTTACCTTGCAATTATCAAAATTGCTTATGGAGAGATTTGTAATAAGACAGGAAAAAATTTACTACCAAGTGAAAAAAAAAAAAAAAGCAATCAAAGCACACTGTGCGTGACCTTGACTACTCAAAAGTTAAGTATATATGACTGAAAAAGCATGTAATGCTGGCTAGTCTTCCTTCTAGCAGTCTCTTATTTTCTCTAATAAGATTTAATTCCTGTTAACACCAGAAAAGGTAACTTTTAAATATTTTCTTTTCTGACCACAAATACAGCAATGTATCTCCTTGTTAAAAAAATAAATAAATAAATTCAGCCTTTCCTTCAGCTGTTTTGGGGCAAGGAGGGGGCAGGGATCCCCAGAGCAGTAATCCTCTAGCTTTTCTCAAGGGCTGAGGCCTGCAGTTAACACAAGCAAGAGGAGCGCTAGAGCAACCCCCTGCCAAGTCCCCTCCTCAGTAAGCAGAAGCAGGAGCAGATTAGTGAGCAGTTCAGTCATTCTTCAGACCCACTCACTGGAGAAAAAGACCTCCTTGGGAGCTAAGCTGAACCGCCTGGGCTGCTGGGAGCAGTGGCTACTGAGGAACCCCAAGGCATAAGAACTACAGGGAGCAGAGAGCAAATCTAGAAATTGGATTCCACTTAAGGGGGAGGAGAGGTTGGATGAGCAGAAGCAAGCAGCAGAATGGACCGCAATATACTCTTGTTTCTTCTCCCCACCAGCCACCGTCCTTACCCATACTATTGCCACTTATTGTTGGGCCATTCACATGGACAGTGATCTGTTCTCCTTGCTTCCACTCTGCCCTTCCACCAATCCATCACCCTAGAAAATTCACTCCATCCACTTTTTTTTTTGCCATTACTGGGGCTGGAATTCAGGGCCTGGGCACGGTCCCTGAGCTTCATATTTGCTCAAGGCTAGAACTCTACCACTTGAGCCACAGCATCACAAATGGCTTTTTCTCTTTATGTGGTACTGAGGAATTGAACCCAGGGCTTCATGCACGCTAGACAAGCACTCTACCACTAGATCACATTTCCAGCCCTCTACCCACTTTTAAACATA